GGTACAGTGGCTCCCAGTTGAGGATCACCATCCTGCATGATGTGATGCCACGCCCATGGCTCTCTTTGTCCTTTGGTCTATTCTAGCCACACTGGCTTCTGGGTCTTTTTTGGACGTGCTAGGCATGCTCCACCTTGAATCTTTGTACCAGCTGTTCCCTTTACCTGGAATATCTTCTCTCAGAGACCTCCATGGCCATTCCCTCCCCACCAGCAGGCCCTTGCTCAATTGTCACCTTCCCAGGATACCCTGTTTTAGATTGCACCCTCCAAAACCTGCCCCCCCCACTTCTATTCCCCTTCTCTGTTTGTCTCCATGACATTTATAACCTCGTTTACTGTACCATGTACTTGTTCGTTTTGTTTATCATCAATCACCCACACTAGAATATGGTCTCCAGGAGAGAGTTTTGTCCACTTCTGTGACCCCCAGCTCCTAGAACAGTACCTGGCACATGGTATGTGCTCAGAAAATATTGGTTGAGTGGGTGAATAAATGAATGTGTGTATGACTGAAATTTTTTCAACCTAGAATTTTTCAAAGTAAGCTTCTCACCACTGACTGGGACAGTTTCATTAATGTACAAATGGAATATTTGACTTCAAGCTGTTGAGGAAAATTGAGATTCTGTATTGGGTTTTAGAATTAATCTCTAAGGGTCACTGTTCATTTTACTTGAAAAGTACTTTTACATATACTTACACAATACTTTTACAAAGAAATATCTTTCTGCAATTTAGCTAAGCTACTAATTTTAAGTAAGTTTATTTTGTCCCTTATGCTGGTTGAGTTAATTAGACCTAGATTAGTGATTTCATAGGCAGTGAGTTAAGCTTGTCAATGTTTGTATAACAGTTTACAACTTCCAATGGTCAAACACAGCTTTCCACAGAAAAATATGCTAACAAACATTGTTTCCTATGATAAACATCCATGATCTCTTACAAGTCAATAGTCTTGAAACAATCAAAACAAACTTTTTATTACAGGAAATCTCTTTGTTCTTAGAAAATAGACATAGGGAGAAATCTAACTTTATGGATGATGTGCTAGAGAATACACAAAGATTTAACTAAAATATTATGGTCACAGATATGTAAACATTTGTTAATCTCTTTCCTCATTCATCAATTCTACTTTAAGAATCCATTCAGTGTTTTGCTTTGTCTAAAGCAATTGTTTCATCAATTCCTTAAAATTTCTTTTCAGATTCCTGCTTAAAATAAAACAAAACAAAATGTGTGTCTTCTATTTTAGCTCTAAACTCAATCAAAGCTAAATTGAAGATATTCGATTTGGGACTTTTAATAATTTATTTTCACAAGCAGCATATTTTCCATGGAACTCACGAGACGAATTACATGCTAAATGTGTCCCCCACATAACCAAGGAAATTTATCTGCAATATGGAATGTCTGGACACAAACCAAGTAAATTTTAGAGGACAGCTGCCAAAACCAATGACATACAGTAATTCATCATGATGCGGAGGCCCACTTTGGAATTGTATGCGCTGGGCGTGCACAGCATTTACATTTCAAAGGCGGTCACAAATCTCTGGAGGCACAAAGGGCTCCAGACAGGACTCCTGCAAATATCACACGTATATTCTGTTGCGCATTTGAGCAAGGACGAGATTTTCTTAGATGACAGTTCGGGAAAAAGGAACGTCGTATTTTAAAAGGCTACCTAACAGCCCTTGATGCAGCATCTCCCAGCTTGCAGCTACAAAGCATGTGCAAACACATACAAAAGGGAAAAACTCATGACATGATGAAAATCCAGACAGGCCCCAACCTATCGCTCGAATACAGAGGGAATTTCCATTTACCGCAAGGAGGCCTGAGAGATGGTAGAAACAGAAGGCTGAAAATGTAGCTCTAACTTTTCAAGAAGAGAGGCTATTCCTTTTATTCCAGTTGTTCTAGTTTCTAAGACGTAATTGAAGAATGTGTTCTTAAACTAAAGGAAACTTGATTGTACAGATTACAAGGACTTGTCATATGTCCTTAAGAAAAGCATATTCAGTTAAAAGAAGCACACCCGTGTAATACATGGCAGTTTGGTGGAGCTGCACAGCATGATTTATTGTCCAGCCTCTTGGCTGGTGTCTGAGGACAGGGGTCCGTCCACTCGCTGCTCGTTTAGTCACTTATTGCAAGGGGTGTCCTCTTATGGGGTGAAACACGATCTTATGGGCAAGGGACAGTTTTTCTTAGAAAAGAAATCCGTTGCGGGGAGGAGGTGGGAGAGTTAGATGAAAAATACTAGAAGTATAACTACAACTAGACTAGTCATATTAAAACCATTTTACATAATGACCTAAGTGGACATTCCTTCCGGGAACATAAGGTTGAATCACTACTAGGAAATCTGGACATTCGATTCATGCATTAATAGGTCACACATGAAAACAATAGATAATTTCTGTAGAAGCTAAAAGGACATTTGATAAAAATCAGCAATCATTTTGGCATTCCACTTAGTGGTAAGTTCTACAAACATCCCTTTGGGGTCAAAATTATTCTGAGTGAGCCGCCAGTATCACCTTGAGAGCTGGAGAAAAGAAGGTGACATTATCATTATTTGTAATTGATATGGAGAGTATGTGTGTGTGTGTGTGTGTGTGTGTGTGTGTGTGTGTGAGATCTAGAAAACCTGAGAATCAACTAAAATCTCTGACCTGTAGTGAAAGCTCAGTGTGATGACTGAGGATGAAAACCAGTCACTTTATATGTGAGTAATAATCACCAGCAAGTGTGACGGGTATTACAAGAACGGGATGAGGAAAATATCTCATTCCTGATAGCTACAAAACAAATTTAAATATGCAGGAGTAAATTTATTAAGGAATGTACAATAACTATGAAACTTGATTGAGAGACAAAAACATATTAAAGGGAGAAGAATGGACCACCCTTTCCTCTTCTAGGAGGGAGGCAGGCACCGGGCAGTGCTCGTGGGGAAAGCGGGGAGACCCTGAGCTGATGGTACTTGGACAGGAGGAGGGAGTCTCTCTTTAAGAGCAGGGGCAGGAGGCTGGGGCCAGGGAGGGGCAGGGAGAGTGAGGGGACAGTGGCTGGGGAGCAGTAGAGATTGGACACCTGTCGATGTGCCAGGCTTGGGGAGACACCTGGGGAAGGTGGTTTTGTCTGTTTGTCTTGTTTAGATTTTTTTAAGTTGTAAGGTTTGCTAACACCATTCTCTATTCCTTCTCTTCCTTTCCTCATGAAAATCTCCTGTAACAGTCTACACTGCTTTGCATAGGCTTTGGAACCAGATTTGTGGCTTTTTCCAATAGGTCACTACCCTCAGGTCAGCATTAAGAAGGGAGCAGGAAGGCCTAGATTTATTTAGATTTTACAACTACCTGAGAAATGAAGCTTCAAAGTAAATTCAGTTCTCTGTGTCTGAGTTGTGGTCTTTTACTAAGATAATGTTAATACAATAAACCAAACAAAATGATTACTTGAATTATGCTTTCTTTAGTTTCCCTTGCACTCAGCTGTCTGTATGGCTGCACATTGAGGTTGGGTTATAGAGAGATTCAGTAAATTTTCTCAATGCTCCAGGAGGATGGTCTGGGCAGGACATTTGATGACAGTTTTGTTGCAAGCACTGTCTATGCAGAAGGGTTTTAGTTGTTTGGAGTAACATCTAATTTGATGGCTGCAGTGCAGCCTGTCTGCTCTAGCAAATTTGCTGTTTCCATGTCTGGCCAGCAAAACTTCAATGTTAGCTTACAATGAATTGTTCTTTCCACTTCTATTTTAGGAAGATTGAAAATGGTTGGGATAGATATGAATAAATACAAAAATAAATGGTTGAATTTAAACTGTAAAGAAACACATGCTATTTCTCTTAAAGCTATGATTTTAACCAGATTATGATGTAAGAGATACGATTAAATTACTCAGGATTGGTATCATTATAGAAAGGAAATGGCGCTTTTGAACTTTGAGGCTCATGGCCAAAGCATATGTTTGAGAGGCCCTGGTACCATGCACTATATTTTTTGTGTTTTAGGCAACTTTTTCCTGTACCTGTGAGGACCAGTACGTGGGTACTTTCTGCGAAGAATACGACGCCTGCCAGAGGAAACCTTGCTACAACAACGCGAGCTGTATTGATGCAAATGAAAAGCAAGATGGGAGCAATTTCACTTGCGTTTGCCTTGCCGGTATAGTATCCATCATTCATGTTATTAATAGCGTGTCTCTCTCTGTACAGTGTGCAGAGTGATTAAGGATGGTTAAATAATACTTTGTCTAGCTGTTGGATGAAGCAACTTCAAGATCTCATTTGATTCTATTAGTCTATAATTAATATAATCAGGGAGTGGAAGAAGGAAGTTCACCTGGGGAGGAGCATCATGTCCCTTGGCTTGCTTTCCGATGTTAGAATGCTTCCGTTTTAGCATTCCACCATTTTTATTCTGGGAAAATGATATTCTTGGTCAAATAGAGGCCTGGATGTTTCAAAAACAAATTTCGCAAATTTGTACTGAGCATGGGCTGGCAGTGTGCTGGGGGATTATGTTAAGTAACTTAAGAAAAATCTAGAATAAACTATACATATTGTTATGTAAAGCCACCTAATCCTCCCATTTATATTAATTTCCTTTTGTTCATGTATGTTCATTAGCCCAAGTCCTTGGTATATTGTTCTCCACAGTGGGGGAGTCTTTAACATTCTTTGATTATTGTGGGGTGTTCTTGGATGTTCTATGAGGCTTCGTAATTCTCAGAGCACATTGAGTGGCTCTCAGGAGAGCACGGTGGCAATGTGCCTGCAGACTTCCGTGCCCTGACAATCCTCTTAATTGACTTACTGCCCAGCAGAGTTGATTATAAACCCTTCAGCAGCAGAAGTGGCATTTTAGCAGTGAACATTTTGATACAGCTGTTTCGATGCAGCTTAAAAGCAAACACCAAATTACTCCATTTTTATTATCAAATAATGTGCAAAACTGACATCTTTCCTCTTTCCATCTCATCCTTTTGCCAACTTCTGCCACTGTGTGGGGATTAGGATGTGGTAGGAGCTGGGGATGGAGTGAAGTGCTTAAGTTCTCAGAGTAAGAAACAAGAGCCAACAGGTAGAAGTTTAGAAACTAAAAAGTGAAATGTGTTCACTCATCTATTCCCGCCCAAACATTGTCAAATCACAGGGACAGGGCAATAGTTTGGTATATTCTTTCCAGACCATTCATTGTGTGTGTTTGTATGTGTGTGTGTGTCTGAGTATATCTATTTCTCTTGCAAGTCAGCTGGTTAAGTATTTTTCTACCAGTTTGTAAAAAGTGATTACGTTATGCTATTGTTCTATAACTTGCGTTTTTCGGTATGTGTGTGTCAGTAGATCATAGACATCCTTCCACGTCAGCACATTTGGAGCAACCGCATTCATTTTAACAGTTGCATAGTGCGTCTCCCAGATCTGTACCTCCGGGTCAGGTTCCCCTCCAGACCCACATCCCTGACAGCCTACGTGTCCTCTCCATTTAGAGGTCCCAGGCCACCTGCAGCTCAGTCATCCCCGAACTGAACTCATCATGCCCCAGGTGCACACAGCTCATCTTCCAGTGTCTCATCCATTCCTACAGGCCACACATCTACAAGCCGTCTTCGGCGCCACCCTCTCCCTCTCTGGCATCTTCTTTCTACCTCCAGTGTTCTCCATTTTACCACCCAAAGACCTCTCAAGCCCACCACCCTCTGTGCAGCCCACTGCCAGCACTGCAGGCCTGTGCTCCTGAGATAGTCTCCACTCTTTCTCCGTCCACTCTTGCCACTGCCGCGCACTGGAACCGGAGTCACAGTGCCGAAGTGAGCATCGGCTTTCATCACATCCTTCCCCTGGGACTCTCCATTCTCCATGTGGCAGGTGATCATTTCCCAGTGGAAATCCGATGTTGTCGTTTTCCTGCTTAAACCCCTTCTTCCTATTGCTTTTTGGATGAAGATCAAAATCCTTGGCCTCATCCCGCCTTCCCTCCATGATGTGGGGCCTTTTGCCTCTTTCCAGCCTCATCCGACACTCATGTTCCCCTAGCTCTGGTTCCAGCCACCTTGGCCCTTCACTTCCCTGACAGCTGAGCTGCCTTCTGCCGCAGGGTTCACCCTCTCTTTCTTGTGCCTGACGGCCCTCCCTCCCTGTCTCCTTTTTGCCTGGTTAGTTACTCTCAGCACTCTGTTTCAGACCTCTGTTAAATGTCCCTTTTCCTCGGGAAGTCTTAACTAAATGCTTCAAGACAGGTCTCCCTTCATTTTTCTCTTTTATAGCCCCACGTTCCTTCCTTCACAGCCCTGTTTTCAGCTTCATTTGCGTGTGTGATTCTTCGATTATGGCCTGTCTTCCCTACCAGATTGTTAAGCTCCATGAGAGCAGGGCCTGTATCAATTTTGTTCCTGATTATATCCCAGTGTCTGAGAAATTGTGGACACTCAGTCAATGTGTTGATGGGATGAATTAATGAAGTTGTATAAATGTAGACTGATGTTTTAAGCCATTCCTCTACTGATGGATCTTTGAAATGTTTGCAATTTCTCTTTTATAAGTAATGCTAATACAAATAAAGATCCTCCTACAAATAGAATCAATCAGAGTTGATAGGCGGAGGTTTTTGCTATTTGGACTGAAATGATTTTGGTTTGATATTTAATCTAGGTCTGTTCTCAAAGGGGATTTCTCCATGTTTTTAAAGGATCTCATGTGCACAGAATTGGATTGATAAGAATCCTTGGTTTGTGACACTCTCTCGTTTTGTCCATGCATAGCCCGTTTTTATATATTTGCTAAGTTTTTATATATTTGAAACCACCGCCCAGAACAGAAGTTATATCTGATAACTAACCACAGAGTCTCCTCATCTGTCCTTTCTTCCACCTCCTCTTCCCCTCCAGAGGTAACATCATCGTGTATCTTGAGTTGATCAGTACTTTATTTTTCTTTTTTATAGTTTCAATATTTACATGTTTTTATGGAAGCATGTTTTTAAATTTATAAAAATGGTATCATACATGAATCATGTATGGTATCATTCATATAATTTTCTGGTACTCTTCCCACTTAATACTGTATATGGAGATACACCTGCACTGTTGGAGCTCACGCTTTTTGACTGTTGTATAAAATTCCATTCATCTATTCTCTTATGGACAGAGACTGACATGCATCTGGGTTGTATACATATCCTCTATGGTGTTTACATAATAAAATCACCTAAGGATGCATTTCTCTGTTGTTAAGTGGTGCATGATTATAATGCTTTGTCTCTCAGTTGGCATCAGGACCATAAAGTTGTTGCATTACAAGTATGTGAATATTGATAATTCTACTTAGACCCAGGGACAGTTTGGTGATTGTTGGTAAATTCATCATCAAGAGATGGCAAATTGATCTTGATTTACAAAATGATCATCTTTTATTTCTTCTATTAAAGCAACAGAACTATTTATAACATCAAACTTGTAAATAATAGCAAATTATTATTTTAATAAGCTACTTTCTAACAGCAGTTCTATCATTGCCTGACTATTACAGATCGAATACTCCCAAACTTTCATGAAATGATGTGAGATTTTATTTTAGATCTAGATGTCTTTGTGTGTCGGTCACAGTTTAAACACATTTCAAAAATAATATTAGTAATCACCACTGACATTTACATCAAACTGTTTTCCGAGGTTCTTCTTGAAAGGTGTGTGGTTTGCTGAGAGTTGTCCATGTGTGAGAAGAGTCCCTCCATGTGAAAGAAGTTCTTTCTTGTTTAATGGAATTTTAAGGCAGCTTTAGAATCCCAGCAGCTATTTAAAATCCTTTCTGCTCTCCTTGAATCTGTAGCTTTCCTTCCTTCACCTTTCACAGAGCTGGGTCCATGGGACACTCCTCCCTCATAGGCTCTGCACTTCCTTAAGCTCTAGAACAAATCCTGATCAGAGGTGGAAGAGATTTAGGACATGTTACTCTGGCACCAGGGATATGTTGCAGTCCTCTTAAGCAGCTTTCTTCTTAGTCACTTCCGATTCCTTGCAGGGACCCTTCCCCGGTAGGTTTCTTTCTCCCTTCTAGCTTCTAGCTCTGCCTCTCAGTAACCTTTCTGCCGTAGTCAAAATGCACACGTACACACACACGCGCGCACACACACACACACACACACACACACACACACACGGTGCTTGTATTTATTGAGTGTTTACCACGTGCTGGGCCTGTGCTAAGTGCTTTCCAAGGGTAATCTTAGAACATGTATGAGTTAAGCACTCTTAATTATACCAGTTTCATAGATGAGAAACTGAGGCACAGGGAAGCTTTATAACTTGGTTGAGAATATTAGTTAGGGCAACAGTAGGCTGCACTGCAGCAACACATAAATCCCCAAAGCTCGGTGGCTTCCAAGAAAAGATTAATTTCTACTTGTGTCATAGTCTGATGAGGGCACCTACCCTCTGGGAGAAGACACAGGGATCCAGTTCCTCGGACATTGTGAAAATACCATCCTGAAGAGGTGGTCTTTGCAGATGCTGCTGAAGGGGCAGGGGCAGCTGGAGGTCTCATGTGGCCTGGTGGCACTTCTAGCACATGCCGTTTGCCAGATTCAGCCCGCTAGTCCTCAGAGGCTCGGACTAGGGAGCGGAAACAGTGTGGTGAATGCCTCTTGTTGTCTGTGCCTTGCCAGGTGCAAGTGCCAGGAACTGTTGGGGTCAGGATTTGAACCCAGGTCCTCCTGCTGGCCTCTGGAGCTCATGTTATTGATCATCTCACTGTGCTCTCTTTCTGTGTGTGCGACTATGTGGTGTGCTGGATACTTTGCTGTTACAAATGTGTAATTTAAGACCACGTAATCCCTTCAGCTTTTTCATGTCAAACAGGTCTTTTTTTTTTTTTTTTTTT